CGCTGTCACCTGGGGACGCTGTCACCGGGGGGCGCTGTCACCAGGGGATGCTGTCACCAGGGGGCGCTGTCACCAGGGGATGCTGTCACCTGGGGGCGCTGTCACCGGGGGGCGCTGTCACCGGGGGGCGCTGTCACCAGGGGGCATGCTGTCACCAGGGGATGCTGTCACCTGGGGGCGCTGTCACCTGGGGACGCTGTCACCGGGGGACGCTGTCACCAGGGGATGCTGTCACCGGGGGACGCTGTCACCAGGGGATGCTGTCACCGGGGGGCGCTGTCACCAGGGGATGCTGTCACCGGGGGGCGCTGTCACCAGGGGATGCTGTCACCTGGGGGCGCTGTCACCGGGGGGCGCTGTCACCGGGGGGCGCTGTCACCTGGGGGCGCTGTCACCTGGGGGCGCTGTCACCTGGGGGCGCTGTCACCAGGGGGCATGCTGTCACCAGGGGATGCTGTCACCAGGGGGCGCTGTCACCGGGGGGCGATTCAGAAAAGGCCAATGTCACCAGGGCTCCCTGCGTCAGCACTGGTGCTCGCAGAGGACAGACGCTTCCCTGAGGTCTGTGAGGTGCAGGTGGCCGTGGCGCCTGCGGTCCAGAGATAGAGCCTGGGCACTCCCAGCACAGAGGCTGTGGTCCAGCTCCTCCCCCTTCCAAGACCTGCTGGCCACCAGACAAGCTGCCCTCCGGCTGAGGACAGGCTGGGCACGGAGTTCGGAGCCCCTCAGTGGCCGGCGCAGGACGGTGGGCTGGGCCCTGAAGGCTGCCCAGCAACAAGTGACAAGCCATAGGGAAGGCGCCTGCCGCGGCCTCTGGCGCCCTCTGCTGACAGACCATGTCCCTGCACGTAACTTGGGAGCAATGGGAGAGAACTCGGACCTTCAGAGCCCTGGCCTTGCAGCTAGAGCCACACAGGCAAGGTGGCCTCCCTGGCCACCAGCTGGGGAGATGACCCTAATGCCGAAGGAGTCAGGGGTCTGAGAGGAGGCCTGCAGCCACAGAGGAGGCGGGAGCAGACGTGCTGAGCAGCCCGATGGGAGCAGGCAGGGTCTCCAGGTCAGGTGGCCGTTGGAAGGCAGCAGGAGCTCTCCATCTGTCCTGGGACACGGAGGTCACCTCTGGGTGCTGAGACCATGGAAAGCAGCAGCACTCATCCTGAGCACAGCACAGCACACACCATGTACCCCATGGCTGCCAGGGCCTGTGAGGGTCTGGGCAGCAGGGCTGAGGGCGGCAGGGCCTGGGCAGCAGGGCTGAGGGCGGCAGGGCCTGGGCAGTGTGGCCTCCACAAATCCAGAGTGAGGCCCGAGTTGCCCTGGCACGGAAGCAGCCCCTGGCTCTGTACCATGACCAAGGACTGGAGAGAGCAGGGAAGCCCAGCAGGTGACTCGGCCAAGCCCTAAAGAAGCGTCCACATCCTGGCCGCCACCCGTGCACAGCTCACCTGGGAGAGCTCCTTCATGCCCACATGACGGCCCAGGTCCTGTACCTTGTCCTTCACCTGCGGTGTGCACACACAGCGCCTCGCACACCCCCTGGGGTGTGCACACAGCGCCTCGCACGCCATCTGCGGTGTGCACACACAGCGCCTCGCATGCCATCTGCGGTGTGCACACACAGCGCCTCGCACGCCCCCTGCGGTATGCACACACAGCGCCTCGCACGCCCCCTGCGGTGTGCACACAGTGCCTCGCATGCCCCCTGCGGTGTGCACACACAGCGCCTCGCACGCCCCCTTCGGTGTGCACACACAGCGCCTCGCACGCCCCCTGCGGTGTGCACATACAGCGCCTCGCACACCCCCTGCGGGGCACCGCCTCCCCGCGCACACCCAGGCGTCCGTTCCAGGCACACCCCGAGTGTCCTGCCACGTTGGCCCCTTGTCTGCCAATGCAATTCTTCCTGTGACAGTGTCTTCTCAGCCAATCAACTGCCCCCTTGCTCATGAGTGTGGTCTGAGGTGTGGGTCACAGCACCAGGTCCCTGGGCACACCTGGGGCTCCAGGCTCCCGATCTCACCAGAGAAAAGTGGCCAGGATCCCTCTAGAAGGCTCGGCACCTCCCTCCAGTTCAGGGACAGCCAGGCGCATGGCAGCTGACGTGCTACCCGGACCGTGGGTGACTGAGAGGGAGAGGGGGGTGGCCCCGGGGTGCAGGTGAGCGGAGCGGCTGGGGGCAGGCGGGGCCGGGCGGAGGGGACAGGTGTCTGGCCCACACAGGACCTGGGTGCCGGTCAAGGGCCTCTGAGGTCCTTGTCATCCGGGAAGCTGCGGCCCTTGCTGAAGGGTTTCCTGGCTTCCAAAGTCACCCTGATGGGAGCACAGCCCTGGCCGCGCCCAGGAGACGCGTGGGCTCACGGGCCGCAGTCGGAGGCCGGCCCCAGGCAGGGCAGGGGCGGAGGGGGAGGTGTGTGGGCAGAGGCCAGGGCAAACAGGGAAGCACCGCTCCTTGTCAGGCAGCCACTCAAGAATCTCAGCAGAACCCAGGCAGGGTCCCACGGGTGCACCAGGGGCCTGGGCGGGAAAAGGGGTCCCCAATGAAAGAAGAAATTCCAGAGGCACAGATGGCAGAGGCCCCGGAGCTCAAGGCACGTCTGAGAGCTGAGAGTCCAACCTGAGCCATGACCAGGGGAGCTGGGCCCCCCCAGAGGGACCTGGGTGTGTGCAGGGGAGGGGGAGGGGCTGGGCCCCTGGGCTGCACGGCCCGGCCGTACCAGGGCGTGTGAGAAGCTTGGCAATGGAGCGGCCCAGGTCCACCCCCGTCCCCACCCCACCCCCCGCCCCTGCCCACACAGCTCCACTGAGGGGCGACGTGCGCTGCCTCCTCCCAGGCAGGGGCCTGGCGGGAGAGGTGCTCTCTGAGACCTCCACTTTCTCCTCAACTCAGGGTCAAAGCGTGAAAACGCTCTCATGCGCACAGAGCTGAAAGCCAAGAGCCGCCCCTCTGTTCCACCATTAGCCCAGT